GTGAAGTTGAGCAGCTGGAATATGAGTCAGTGTGCATATGGGATCCTGGCACATGCAAGGTGATGACTTTAGTCACTAGGCTACTGCACCGGGCCCTATTTTTGTCTTTTATTCACTTAGCTAAACAAAGAAATGCATTACAGACTGTTTTATAAAAACAAATACTAACCCTATGATATTTTTGTGCTTTAAGTAGTTTTGATTTTGCACATTTCTGCTTGCAGAGAAAGGTCACACTTCCAGTTCTCCAAGTACACACTGTTGAGTACCTGCCCTCCAATGAATCACAATTCACCAAAAATTGAAATAAACTCTTCTAACTCAGATTAATAAAACCCTTCCACCTTCCAGAAGCTCCTCTGCTCTCCTTTCAGCGAAGAATCATTGGATTTTTTGTTTTTGGTTTCACTTATCTTTTGAACTATGGAAAGGAGGTCTGTGGCATTTTTGGTAAAGTTCCTGCAGAATTAAGCCTTAACAGAGTGTAGAATGACTCCTATGGAAGAAGGCATATTAGAAAGCAGTAAACATCACAGCAAATGTACATCAAGTCCAGGCCGCTGTGTTAGGCAGCTTTTCCTTTTTATTTATTTATTTATTTATTTATTTATTTTTGTTGGAAATGCAGATTTACAGAGAAAGATCTATTCACTGTTCACTTTACAAGGGACTGCAACCACAACTGGAACGTGCAATGGCTGGAGCTGAGCAGATCCGAAGCCAGCAGCCAGGAATCAGGAGCCAGGGGCACCCTCTGGGTCTCCCAAACAGGTGCAGGGTCCTCTGCTGCTTTCCCAGGCCACAAGCAGGGATCTGGAAGGAAGTGGAGCAGCTGGGACATGAACCAGTTCCCGTATGGGATCACAATGCATGCAAGATAAGGATTTATCTGCTGGGCCATTGGACCAGGCCCTATGGGCGGTTTTCATGACTACAGTGAAATGTCTGAAGCAGGCTAGCTTCACAGATGGAACGGGTTTATGGGGACTCACAGTTCTGAGACACACAGCCTAAGATCAGGTGTCCCTAGGGGTTTAGCTTCTGGTGATGACATTCTTTCAGAATAGCACATTTGAAGCGACTGGGAGAGTATATGTCCACATGTATCTCAGTCTTTTTCTAACCCAGGATTCACTCCTGACAGCCCCATCCCGTTACTGAATCTAATGTATTCACTGTGGCAGGATGTGTGGGGTGTGGAATTATAGGAATCTACTGGAGATAGATTTGTATATGTAACAAGAAGGGACATGAAGTTTTTAAATAGTTGGGAAATGCTGTGGGATTTTGGCAAGGATTTGAGATAGCCTGCATCCCTCTGTTTTTTTATATTCCCAGCAGGATTTCAATTTTTCAACTCAGAAACATGTTAGCTGTAACATGCAAACGTTTCTCAGTTGTATTAAAACTACTTTCTGGAAGATTTTTTTAAACTTGTTTTAAGCTGAAAACTGAAAGATGATAAATGTGACAATTTAATTTTTTTATCTTAAAAATTCATTTATTATTTTATGATTCCACGATACAGTTCCATAGGCTCTGGGATTTCCCTTCCCCTCTCCAGAGCCCAAAACCCCAACTGATTTTCCCCATGCTATTATAATAGTATAGTCCTTCAGAATCTAAGTCCATCATTCTGCTATTTAAGTGCATATTGACAATGTGGGCATGGACAGTGGCAAAGAGTCCAGCATCCACTTGTAAAGACATATTTAATGGTTTTTGGGAGTCCATCTTTGATTGGGAAGTAGAGATGCACACTGCAGTGTGTTTTCGCATCTGTATGTGATAGTTTCTACTACACAGGTACTATTCATCCCCTTAAATAAAAAGCCATAAAACCAAATCAGCAACAGAGAGAAAAATAGAAAATTTACAACCAACTAGTACTTACATGGTCTCTGAACCATTTGGATGAAATGTGGTTTCCATCACCGAGCATGTATCTAGATACGTAATATCATAGGGGAAGACTTATGACAGCTGGAACTGGTGAAAGATTGCTTCAGAAAATGTAAATCAACAGAGACTCAAGCAACAGTTCTTTCCTATGTGAAAAATTTACATTTGAATTGAAAAATAGTGTAGTTACATATAAGCTAGTTCAGTATAAATGAAATTCAATGACAAAAATCTCCTTTGTCTCTTAAAAATTAGACTCATAATTATGTTCATCTACAAAGGTGATTGTCACTGTAAATTCAGTTCATTCACGCATTTTCAAGTATCAAAACTCAGATGATTTTGTAATTCTTTTTAATAATTACCATATTTTGAAATATGGGAAGAAATACAGAAAAAAATTCTTTATATGGAGAGTCCAACAAGGAAAAAGATTTGGGAATAGCATACTTTAGTAACCAGTCGCTTATGTGCAACTTGGTGTCTTGCATCTGTTGCTCACAGGACTGGTGTGTAAGGCATGGAAGTCACAGCTTCCTAGGGTATGACAGCTAATAGTCTCTAAAAGCCATGATAGTCAGATCTTTACAGATTGCTCTTGATTCACCTCTGCAGTCATTCCCAAGGGGAAAATCAGTCCCAGGAGAAAAATACACGGAGTTCAGTTTTCATTAGGAGCTGATAAGGAGTCACCTTAAATATGCTGTGGTTCAAATGCATGATATGTACACAGATATTTCACATACCTGCACGCATAACTCACCCACACAGATATCTTCCAATAAAGGTGAGTGGATGCCTCAGAGCCTGGCTCTGTTCCCTGCTGTGCCTCAGTCTCCTCCCATTTAGAAAGGGCAATAATAAGAGTAGTTACCCCCAGATTGATAAGATAGTTAATGATATGGGTATGAAAATGTGTCTGGCTTGGACGAAGCGCGCAATGGCTATCATCAAAGGTCTGTTTCAAATGACTTATGGTCACTGCGCAACTGCGGCTTTGAAATGTGTGTGTGTGTGTGTGTGTGTGTGTGTGTGTGTTTAAGGTTTTATTTTTATTTCAAAGACAGATTTACAGAGGGGAGAGACAGAGACAGACTAATCTTCCAACACTGGTTCACTACCAAATGGCCGCAACAGCCCAGAGTGAATCTGGAAGCCAGGAGCCAAGAGCTTCATTTAGGTCTCATATGCAGACATGGCCATTAAATTTGTACCATGTGTCCTAAAGTAAGTTTTGTATTTTATTGTGTAGCGGTGTAGAGGGGTGCTTATTTTTAGGATTAAAAGTATTCAATCTCTTTATGAAGAGAGAAAGATAACATCTGGGTTGGGTGGCTGGTGTTTCCACTAAGATGCCCACATCCCCTAATAGAACGTCTGCGTTCAATGGATTTGTTCCTGGTTCCAGCTTGCTGTTATTGAAGATTCCGGGTGGCAGTGATGGCAGCTGGAGTAACTGTTCCCCTGTCACACACAGAGGCCGCTTGGATTTTGTTCATAGCTCCTGACTTTGGCCTGGCCCGGCTTGGTTTCTGTGGGCAGCTCTGTGGGAACCTGGGGATGGAAGCTTTCTCTTTGTCTCAATTAAATATAAAATGTAAAAACTTACCTAACAGTTGTATTTTTATTTTCTATTATTGATTTATTTTCAGCTTGGATAGGAAGAGCTTTTGAAAGCAATGCCATGTGGAAAGGGCAGGATGCAGGCAGCATGGAACCCAGGAGCTGAAATTCACTCCCAGGTCCAAAGAGGGACTCATTCAAGTCTGACTGCACTGTGGACAAGTGGTTTTCTTGCAAGGCCAAATGACTCTTATTTTGCTAAAATTAACTCTAATATTTTGCTACAGCCATTTGAATAAACTGACTCACATGCTACTATGAGTTAATGTCTGTTTTGCTACTGAATCAGCCGTGTTTGGCCAGCCAGGCTGCCTTCACATTTTTCTTGATGTTTATGCTTTAGCTTAGCAACCAACTAAACTTAGAGTGTAATTTCAGCATTTAAAAGGGAAACATATTATTAGTTAACTAACGATCCCACAGCCAGGCTGTTTGTGCAGTGTGCTTTTTTTTTTTTTTCTAAAGATCTCTATATTATTTTGAAAGCCTGAAATTTTGGCTTTTTCATTCTTACAATTTTTGTCTTTAATTCACTGAAGACGTTAAGTTGAATGTTGGTGAATACACAAATTGTAAGAACATGAACATAATTTCATTAAAAAATTTGAATGTTATAAACTGGGCAATTGTCTTAAGTCAGTAATGAACTCAAGTATGTTGGTCCCCCAAATTCCAGTATTTCTTTCCTAGCCAAACAGCTATAAACTTGCTTCTTGACTCAAAAAACGTCTTAAGTTAAAAAAAAGAAAGTAAATTAGCAATGGTTATGGACTTTCAGAAAAGGGATATATTTTTAGGCTGTTTCAAGAAAAATCTTTTAAGTTATACATTCCCAACTATAAACACTTTGTTTAGCTCTTGAAAAGAACTTCAGTGTATTTACCCGGAGCCAAACACAAATTTGATGTTTTCCGAAAGCGACTGCATGTCTTTTCAGGCACGCGGCTGGATGAGGGAAGGAAATTATTTTTTTTTTTTTCTCAGCTTAGGGTCCAGTGCCCTGCCTCTTGTATCGGTCACAGAGCTCTCAGAGCTGGCAGGTGTAACACCTTCAGTTCACAAAGAAATCAAGACTCAGATGGTGGGAAGTGATTTGCGTAAGACCTGGGGCTGCTATCCCGATGCCATACTGCTCTTTAAGATTCTCTTATTAAAAATAATTTGCAGGCAGCTGACAATCGCGTCGCTTGGGCAAAATCGTCCTCTGCTTCTAGACCCCGTTTTCTCTCCTCTGGCCGTGCGTGCGCGGTGCGCCGGGTGCTCGCTCACCAGCTGCAGCTGGGGCTGTGGTGCGCACCGAGGCCGCCGCCCCAGCCACCAGCGCAGGCCTGGATGAGGCCCCGGGCTCGGGCCGCGTGATGCAGCCCGGAATAGGTGCAGACCCGCACGTGTCCCCGCCGGCGCCCCGGGCCTCCGCGCCGTCGCCCAATCGCTGCGGCCGCCTGGCGCTCGGACCGCCGCGCCGAGACCGGCCCCGGGCAGACGCTGCCCGTCGCCATGCGGTTCCGGTTCGGGGTGGTGGTGCCGCCCGCCGTGGCCGGGGCCGGCCCGGAGCTGCTGGTCGTGGGGTCGCGGCCGGAGCTGGGGCACTGGGAGCCGCGCGGGGCCGTGCGCCTGAGGCCGGCGGGGACCGCAGCCGGCGCGGGGGCGCAGGCCCTGCAGGAACCGGGCCTGTGGCTCGGGGAGGTGGAGCTGGCGCCCGAAGAGGCGGCGCAGGACGGGGCGGAGCCCGGCCGCGTGGACACCTTCTGGTACAAGTTCCTGAAGCGGGAGCCGGGAGGAGAGCTCTCCTGGGAAGGTACTGGCATCGGGCCCCGCACTCCGGGGTCGAAGGCCGGCGGCGGCCTTCTCGGGCGCTGCGTCCCGGTCCCTCAGCCGGCCCCTTGCGCCCGGCGGGAGCCACGTGTGCCGGCCGGCCCAGGCGCCGTGCCCTAGGTTCACGCCCTGGGATGGCACACCTGCTCTGCCAGGGTCGTGCCTTCCCCGCGCACTGGCATCTCCGGGCCGCCCCCCGCGGGTTCTAGCGTGCTTGTCCTTGCGCCCGAGTTCTCTATAAGTCGGATCCAGCCAAGGACACCCGCCTCTTCACCAGGCCTGCCTGGCTGGTGTGCGCTCAGAGATTTTTTTTAAAGTTTGAGAAGAAATTAACGGAAAGTCATCGAAGCATGGCTAGGGAGAGACAGCCTGATTTCTTTAAAAAAGAAGAAGAAGAAGCAAAGTATGTGGTTATTAATAAGCCAAAGACATGGAAAAACTTAGGGATTTCTAACAACCCATTAAGCACACTGCTAGCGGGTGTTACATTGAAGATACTTCTTAAAGTTCTTGGGGAAAAAATGGAGCTAAAAGTATAAGATTATTTTGGTGCAACATTTTTTGAAAGCTATGCATAGTTTTCTCATAATATGCGTTTTCCAAGCGTTATGAAGAAGTTTTTTTTTTTTTTTTCCTCTTCCAAAATAAACTATGCCTTCTCCCGTTTCCCACAAACTTCACGGAGGAGGATGCTTACAGGTGATTTGGTTTTGCTAGTGTCTATTTTCGCTTTTACAAAAGCTGTGTAATGTATAATTCCGAGTCTTGCTTTTGTTGTAAGATGCTGTAGACACAGCACTTTCCGTGCCATTGCAAATAGATACATTTTATTTAAAAAAAAAAAGTAGAGGGTGGGGAAAGAGAGGCAGATACCTAAGGAAAAACAGAGCAAGCTCCCTTCTGCAGGTTCATTCACGTCAGCAGTGGCCTAAGTTGAAACTATGAGGCCAGAACTCAACCCAGGTCTCCCGCGTAGGTGGTGGGCAGCCCTTGTTGAGACCCCGCTGGCCCGCAGGTGTCCATCGCTGTGGAACCCAGGAGCTCTGACACAGGGTGTGGACATCTGAGCTGGAGTCTGAAGTGCCGCACAGCATGTCTGTCCTTGTTGCATTTTTAAATGGTAACAGAATATTCTGCATCTGAACTCATGTCCACCAACGTTGTTTTTAATTTTCCATTTTCCCGTGTTACAAACAATAAGGATTTCGTTGATGTCTATGTACAGAGCGTTTGGGAGTTTTAAATTTTGTTTTGTGTGTAGGATTAAGATTAGTGAGACTCTTGGGTCAAAATGTGAAATGCATTTTCATAAGGGTTGCCACATTGTATTCGAGGAAGGGAAGTATTAGCTTAGACGGCTGCCGTGCTCTGCACATTGAGTTAACTAACCGTTTTTTAAATTGATGTGCAAGCTGGAATGTTGGAGTGTATGTGTGAACAATGGTTGTTTAAAGCCGATGAGATGAATGGTATTTTAGAAATCTATGTGCGGTTATTGACCATTTACTGGATCCTTTTGTGAAAACAGATTCAGTGAAAAAGATGGGTATGCTGTGGCATAGGTCATTCCTGTTTTCACTGAAGCCCATTGGGTTTTTGGTCTGGCATCATTTATTATCCTTTCCTTTTGAAATGCTAGGAATGAAAGATGTCCACTTCAGTTTAGTCTGCCTTCACAAGGCAATAGTAGTATTAAAAGCACAGTAGAATTACGTTTATAAAAAGTAAGGTAATGGCAATTTATCTATTTTAATACAGATGTGATATAAAGCAAAGGTCTGCCCTTTCTCCAGACTCCTCTCCCTTCCTTATCTTTGGCTTTTCTGATAATCCTCTTAAAACTCTGAAGGATTAGAGTGCTCTAATTGTATCAATTTAAATTTTTCAGTTTTCAGTTTTCTAATATCATATAAACATGCATAATATTTTAAATCAAAACTAGACAATATCAGGCACAGCACGTAGACTAGTGGCTAAAGTCCTCACCTTGCATGCACCAGGATCCCATATGGGCACTGATTTGTGTTCTGGCTGCTCTATTTCCCATTCTACTCTCTGATCATGGCTTGGGAAAGCAGTCCAGGACAGTCCAAGACCCTGCACTGCATGGAAGACCCTGAAGAAGCTCCTGGCTGCTGATTTTGGATTGGCTCAGCTCTGGCTATTGTGGCCACTTAAGGAGTAAACCAGAGGATGGAAAAGCTTTCTCTCTGTCTCTCCTCTCCTCTGCAAAGCTGCCTTTCCAATTAAACAACAAAACAAAACATAGAAACAAAATATTTTTAAAAAACCTAGACAATATCTATTTGTAGTTAGCCATCATAATCTGCCATTAAAGATAAGGAATCTGTAGTTCCTAAACTCGGTGTTCCCTGCTGCTTTGCACATTGTTATAAACTTGCTGGTTTTCTATTTTAGAAGTTTATTACTGTATTTTGGCTAAGTTACTTCCACATAAGGAAATAAGAAAAATGGACCACCTGCACATTCCTCTCTATTTTGTTTCACCATTCTAGGGTTAAGTTTTCTGTAATATATACATATATGTAAAGATTTCTTTATTTTTGTTTGAAGTGTAGATTTAGAGAATGAGAAGAGAGACAGAAATCTGTGTCAGCTGGTTTCCTCTCGAGACGGCTGCAGTGGGTGGGACTGAGCTGATCCAAAGCTAGGAGCCAGGAGCTGCTTCTAGGTCTCACATGGGTGTGGGGGAACAAGGACTTGAGCCATGCTCTGCTGCTTTCCTGGGCAGAGAGCTGGATTGGAAGTGGGACAGCCAGGACATGAACCAGTTCCTGTATGGGATGCCAGCACCTCAGGCAGAAAATTAGATTGCTAAGCCACTGAGCCTGGGCCCTATATATTTTTTTTTCCAATGGTTACCATGCTGTCTTATTTTAAGTAGTAGACGGATTTTTTTTTTTTTGAAAGGAAAAGTTACAGACAAAGATAGGTCGAGAGACAGAGAAGGGGAGAGAAACGGGCGAGCAGACAGGTCTTCCGTCTGCTGATTCATTCTGGCTGGACCAGGCCAAAGCCATCACAGAGTTAGAAGTCACTTTGTGGTTTCTCACGTGAGTGCAGGAGTCGAAGCACTTGAGCCATCCATCTCTTGCTGCTCTCCCAGGTGTGTTAGCAGGAGCAGGATGGGAAGTGGGGCAGCTGGGTTTTCAAACAGCACGCATGGGGGTGTCAGCACAGTCGACAATGGCTTGAATGACTTCATGACAACCCTGGCGCCACTAGACTGGTTCTAAGATTTGTAAGTTAATGAGCATTGTAAGATGTGGTGTAACCAGTTCCGTTAAGGCCCTAGCTTCTGGAAATAGGTTTTCTGGGCTCACCTGCCAGTGTGTGACCTGGGCTGAGTCATTGCACCTCACTGTGCTGTCTTTAAACTGCCTAGTAAATAAAACTTATTTACTAGAATGCAATATGTTTTTAAGAAATAAAAAGGAAATATGCTGTGCTAAAAGGAGTTATTATTTTTGGGAAGCTGAGTTGTGCTATTAGACTTATTAAAAAATACATTTTGTCACATTGAAAATGCACTTTTGGAAGGAAAAACTCCTCTTTCTTCACTGTTAATCATTCTCAAATTTTAGTAAAAGTAATAGAAAAGTTTGCCTTACTTTATTATTAGACTTAAACGATATTCCGCAAATTAATTTTTCTTGTTAATTTTTTAACAGAAGGATCACATTAATTTTCAAATGTTCCCACCTAATTGATGAATAGAAATGGCTCACCTCTTAGAAATACTTTTCCCTTTCAAAATTTGAATTCTCATTTGGCTTTTTTTCTGAGCTTAGCTGCAAAAGCATTTCTAAAGCCACTGAACTCTTTGGTTAGTTGCGTTGTTTTGAATTTTGTCTTCCTCCTGAATACCTTCTTCATTTTATTGGATTATATTTTCAGACAATTTTCAAGAAATGATAAGTGGAAGATAAAACATTTGGGACTTACATGCCTAGAATGTCTTTATTTTGCCATCACATTTGATTCCTATTTTAATACAATATTGTGGTCTCAAAATCCTTTTCCTGTTGAAGACTTGGACTTTGTACTCCGTAACCCTCATGCTATCAAACTAAGTTCATTTATTTGTAGGAAATTTTCTTGCTTTTAAACTTTGCCTTAAATTGTGTTTCTTAGGTATGAGCGAGTTGCTATTTTTTTTTCAAAGATTTATTTATTTTTACTGGAAAGTCAAATATACAGAGGAGGAGAGACAGAAGAAAGATCTTCTGTCCGCTGATTCACTCCTCAAGCGACCATAATGACCAGAGCTGAGCCGATCTGAAGCTAGGAGCCAGGAGCATCTCCCACGCATGTGGGTGCAGGATCCCAAGCTTTGGGGTGTCCTCGACTGCTTTCATAGGCCACAACCAGGGAGCTGAATGGAAAGTGGAAGAGCTGGGATACGAACCAGCGTGTATGTGGGATCCTGGCACTTGCAAGGTGAGGATTTAGCTGCTGAGCCACCATGCCAGGCCCCTGAGTTGCTTTTGTTCATACCAGTTAGCGTTTGACTTTAAAAAAAAGTCAACTACAGGAGTTTTTCCCTTCAATTTTGGGAAGTTTTCTGTGTCTTATTTCTCCTTTCTGTTTTGTGTATTGTTATTCATAAATGTCTGCTGGGCATCTATTGAACCTTCTGCTTTTGTGTTGACTACCTCTCAACTTTTCTCTCATTTAGTTCATTTTTTGTTTGTTTGCATAGAGCTCCCTGACTTGTTCATGAAATCACTGTCAGATTTTCAGTACCAACCATTCTATTATTTTGCCCTTACAGTAAGCTCATTGCTTTAGCTAATCACAATTTGGTCTTCCATACTTTCATGTTATTTTCTGATCTACATTGGTTTCAGAGCTGCTTGTTCATGACAGAAGGATATAATTTGCACAAGACCTTTCCTGAGGACATTAAACAGAATTGATTAGAAGTCATCTTTGTCTTGTATTGACTCTTTTCCTTCCACA